CTGTGGTGCACATCTACATTCGGGGCAGTTCCATATTAAATGCACCGACACACGTATTGTTCGGTTCAAATTTTAACCAAGTTGCCAGCAGATAGAGATAAATGTATTTATAAGTGACATCATTTCTATCGACAGAAATGAATAGGCAAGGACCGAGAGATGGTTAAAATGTAAAGGACGGAATTACGAGGACAAAAACTTACTGGCCTGACGTCTCGGATTCTCACTCGAATCCCATCAGAGACAGTCGCAGATAAGGGTAATGAAAGCACAATATGCACAGCTTTTATAGGTAACGATTGTCGCGCTCCCATCCGCCTACAGTAATTAGTAGCGTCCGCATTCAACGGTGAGGGCCGTATTTTATGCAGTACTGGCTTGCCACCCCCCACCCGGATCGTAAATTGTCAGGAGCTAATCAAAGTTGGGAATTCGTGGCGTGATGATTATGCGGCTACTTGCCCCCGCTGTCACTTGTACCTCCCGCATAGCCAATTATTTTATCCAGGCAAGCTGTCAGCAGATAATGGGTTTAGGCAGAACTTGAGTGCAGCCAATACGTGTTAATTCACTTTTTTCAGCACAGGAAGGTTCAACTGCATTTGAAAATGTTTCTGTGCAGACAGGCAACATTGGATGATTCGTAATTAACCATCCAAATCTGCTTTTCAGACAACAGTTGTGTATCATGTGCAAAAATCCGAATCTACCAAAGGTTACCCCGAACCCGGAAGAGAAGTCAGGGAATACTGATTTCGGAGATGTCGACGCGTTTATTGATGACCTGGGAAATCAACTGTATGGTATAATCAGAAAGGAACTCAGCGGCCACCCTCAATCATCTCGATGGGGAATGCGAGTGTGAGGTTTAAGAGGGACTCAGTCTAAACCATGCGGGGGATAGACACGGCGCAACATGTGATTACGAGGACATCATAATAAGGCCTACCCTCTCGTGCAGCGAGTAAAGCCAGAAAATACGACTGGCCAAACAGAGTTTTAAACCGATAGGGCGTCCGTTGATCCAAAATCACACTTTTGATAAAAGGCAAAATAACGTTACCTATAAAGTATTTAGATACTCAAAGAGGAACAGACCAACACCTGTCGAAAGTCTTCTCCCGACCTATCAAAAGCATCCTCCCTACCACTATCAGACCACAATCCTACCAGCATATCGCCCACTAGGGGTGTTGGTGAAAAAGATATGAAGGCGGGTTCTATGTGTCGGACAAAGAATGCATGTTAGCCACTGCAGTGATCTTTGTTATTCTTGCTCCTACGCGAATATTAGAACAACGAAGAAATTTATACGTCTGTCAAACAAAGTCTCTTCACCCCAGGTCAGTTTGCGTTGCAGCGCTGACACGTGTTTTTCTCATTAAAGAACTTGCAGCTAAGCTATTGGAAGTCAGTTCATAGTTCATCCTGATAGTAGACTTGCATGGTATCTACTGGACTCCCCCCTCCTTCACCTACCTGAGTTCGGTGTCCAGACGCAATAAGGAAGACAGAAGGCGAGATCGATTGCAGTGGCTGATATAGGCAAACGATCCATCTACGCATGCCACAGTCGGTGAGTCCAAGAACGATGGACCAGACTTTTACAAACAAAAGGGGGGGGGGCGATCCACATCCCAACTGAGTGGGAGTGCGATAGGGGCCAAATTAAGAAGAAACCATTGTGGCCTGTCTGTTCGTCCTGAGGGGAGAAGCGGATCATCTCGTTAGTTGGTACCCATAAAAGCCAGGACGTTTAGATCGCTCAGATAGTTTGAAAGTGCGTCAGATTGATCATGGCGAAGAATATGCCCTGATTGTCGTTGGGAGGCAGTTTCCAGTGTTGAAATAACCTCTCTTCCTTTCTCAAAGCACCATCATATCGCCTGCGTTAATCAGTCAGTCAGTTGACGTGGTATTGGGCGCAAGTGATTAGTGTGGTGTGAGCCGGAGCCCAGCCGGCCACCGTCCCCTCCATGTGTGGTATTGGTTAGAGGCGCGCTGCCGGACTAACGCATGTCGTACCCTGATGTGCCCCGACCCCTTCCTGGCCCAACACACTTCTCGCCCGGCTCGTTTTAGGCCCACAGTTAGTGAAACAGCACATGGGACACACCGTAAGCAAAAGTGGCATGTCCCTGTTTCAGAAACGGACAAATTTCCCTCAGCAAAGGACAGTTAATCAAATACCGCGCTGCCACCTTCGACGTGATTTACTTTATTTTAGTATTCAAATGTGAATTTTTCACCTTTGAAAGCGAAGACCCGCGTAAACCCTTTCGAATTTTAGTGGATATTTTTGCATGTACGCCACCACTTTTCAGAACAATTCGTTTGCATCGTCATTGTTATCTATCATGTCAAATGTCTGACTGTAGTCAAATTAGCTCTTAGATAACGTTCCATGCTGATTATACACACGTGTGGAACGAAATTAAATAATACCACAAAGTCAATAAATGTCAAACTACTTTATCTTTTCAAAGTCTGTGATCTCCTGAAAAATTTCCTGACCAGTGCATCACCCGTGCTCCAGAAAATTCTCTGCCCATTAGACCCTTTGAAGCCAGCTCCCACAGCAAACGGTCAGCTTTATTTTGCTGACCTTTAGGAGGCCAAAATAGCTGAAAGTATTCCACTGATCTATATGCAATGACCTTGGATGTTGACGGCAATCTCAAGTCTGCAAAACACGTGTTATTCGGTTTCTATTAGCTTTAATCCCATATAGGCTTTGCAGCCATGTCTAAGGTCCTCTGGGCCTCCAACCTAGGTTCTCAGATTATTCTACTTCAGAAGGTGGCTGAAGCTCAAGGTCTTGTGACGGTCGCCGATCCCATGCGTGACCCGACGTTCATCCTTGCTTCTTCGTTTTTTCACAATTTGATCTGTACACTTATTCCAATAAGTAATCGTTCAGAGCCTAGCACGCATCTTCGTCTTGGTTAGTCACATGCATACTCGGACCTGTCATGCCATATTTCGATATCTGTTGAGCATGGAAAGCGAAAGCTTCGTGAAAATAGTCCTTTTGGCGTTAAATGGGCCCACGAGAACTCTTTGAACTGCGTCCGAAATCTAAAGAGCATTACTACGGATTGAGGGTTATTATGTGGTTAAAGTAAGCTTGATTGCTTGAAGTAAGAATTCACGAGAACGGATGCACCAATATGGTCGAATAAGCAAAAGCATGCAACAGGGTCGAAATGCTTGAGTTTAATCTCGAATCACTGCGGCATTGGAAAAGCCCGAGCACATCAGCCCACTCCTTGGTTACGGGTTCGCAGGCTTCCAGTTTTTAGGCTCTTATCATGAAGCATCGGTCATCTGGTGAGTGGAAATAATACCTACACAAACCTCTAAGTTGTTACAATGAAACCCACTCAAGCTGATTATGTCCAAGTACAAGTTTAAGTACAGCTACCAATATAAAGGCTAAATCTGGAAATATACTTCTTCAGCAGTCTGACAAAGACTGTAAATTATAAGTGTCTTCTCCGAAGAACAATGACAGAATTAATATTTTATTGCCAAAAGCATGTTTTCAGTTGTAGACCGTACATTATTTTCATTGAACTGTGAAATGTACCAAACGTGACGAATTGGGGGATAGAAAGCACTCTAAAACAGGCAGCAGGGTTACCATACTCGCAAGTGCGGGAATGTGATATATACAGGTTGGAGGACACGCTATCCACCTAACCTGAAAACGGTATATACAGGTACTACAGGTTTAATAAATATTGAGAAGTAAAGTTTCAGGTACAAGGAGGAGACAGCCGTGACTCCGTAAGAAACCGCCAAAGCCACCATATAGTGGTCTGTTTGTAAAGCGTCGAGGTTTATTAGTGTCCGGCTGAACTTTAGGGTTATGGCAGGCTTCAGCTCAGACACAAGTTGAATGCCCATTTCAGGTGATAAAAAGACACAGACAGGTCCGCTACTATGTTACCATCGTTCGTCTATAAATGCACAGCAAATATATATAGGCAGAATGGTATTACCGACAAGGACACGGAGACTGGAATGGCCATTTCTGGCTTATTAGCCGTCGTCAGCCAGCCATACCCAAGACCGAAGTGTGGAACACCCGAGCCTCGAACTCGCGACCTGTTGGTTTAGAAGTCCACGCCTATACCCACCGGGCCACGAGCCCGTTGCCCTGTCGGTTTTCGATCGGGAATATACAATGGTAGGGGGCGCTCACCGATCGTTCATACGGAGCTCACTCGTTCCGTTGTGACGACGGCTAATAAGCCAGAAATGGCCATTCCAGTTTCCCTTGTCTTTGTCGGTAATACCATTCTGCCTATATATCATGCGCCGCTTTGCGGCTGCTGGTTGGGCTCGAGAGAGAGTCCATAAGGCACACCGGAACGAGTGAGTTCCATATGAACGATCGGTGAGCGATCCCTAACACTGTATATTCCCGATCGAAAACCGACAGGGCAACGGGCTCGTGGCCCGGTGAGTAGAGGCGTTGACTTCTAAACCAACAGGTCGCGAGTTCGAGGCTCGGGTGTTCCACACTTCGGGCTTGGGTATGGCTGGCTGACGACGGCTAATAAGCCAGAAATGGCCATTCCAGTCTCCCTTGACTTTGTCGGTAATGCTATTCTGCCTATATATATATATATATTGAATAACTGAAGTAGTATGCATTCCGAGATGATATGATAAAAGAAGGAAGTCCGTCGGAAATAGAGTTTTACTCGTAAATTTTCTAGCTGGTTACACCAACCCGTCGTCAGACAAAATGAAAAGTGAGAGGTGGCATTGTCACATTGCTGGTTGAGGACGCAGACATAGAGGTAAGCAGACGACCGTGTGAGGCGGAGGTGTGCATTGTGTTGTGATGGGTGCGGGAGGTGAGGATAGGTGTTGTGGGTCCAATCTGTGGCTCACCGTGTTGGGGTGGAGAGGGGGAGTAGGGCAGGGTGGTAGGAATGGCGTGTCGGCGAGATCATGCATGTCCGGGCACGCATTAGCTGTTGTTGTTCTTAAGGTGGGCGCCAGTCAGTCCACCGTGATTTGAGACCCTCGTAGTGGACATCAAGGTCAACATGGCGGTTAATGCTATCTGCACCGGAGTGCCAAGCTTCGAGGAATTCCCGTGCATGTTTAGTGTTAGCCATGGCGACCACTTCGGCACCGTCCCAATTGAAACGGTGGTCACAATCAAGAGCGTGGGCAAACACGAGAGATAAGGGGTCGCGTCGGCGGATAGGTAACTTGTGTTCATTAATGCGAGTCCCAAGTTGTCGACCCGTGTGACCAATATAAACGCAACGGCAATTAGCGCATGGGATGCGGTAAATGACGTTACTTTGTTGTTCTTTGGGTATGGGATCCTTTGCCCGGGATAATGCTGCGCGTAAGGAGGACGCCGGCTTGTGGGCAATGCAGATGCCAAACCGGTTTAGTTGTCGGGCCATTACTTCAGAAATTCCTCGCATGTAGGGCAGGGAATAATATTTCCTCTGTGCCGCTTCTCCACTTGGACTCTGATCTTGTGGTTGCCTCTGACGTCTGAGACAGTTTTTCACGAAGCTAATCGGATATCCGTTAGATCGGAATAATTGGTATAAGTAGGCTAGCTCTCTCTTAAGTAGATACTGGCTGCTACAGTACCGAAAGGCTCGGTGAAAAAGAGTTCGGACGCAGCTTTTTTTGTGGGCCGCAGGATGATTACTCCCGTAGTTGAGGATGATTTCGGCGCTGGAGTCTTTTCTGTGGACGCTGGTTGCGAGATTGCCATCAGTCAGTCTTTGTACACTGACGTCAAGAAAAGGGAGGATGTCCCCTGTTGCTTCTTCGCGTGTGAATTGTATGGCGGAGAAAACACCGTTAAGACTCTGGTGCAGTCGTTCAACTTCGCAGTTTTTTATGACTACGAAGGTATCATCTACGTAGCGGAGCCACATTTTTTGTCTGATGGCTTGAATAACAACTTCTTCTAGTCTTTGTAAGACTAGTTCGGCGAGTAGGCCCGATATCGGTGAACCCATGGGGGTGCCCTTGACCTGCTGGTAATACTTGCCATCGAATTGACAATAGTTCTTAAGACAAAGCCCAAGCATGTCTAAAACGTGCTCTGTTGGAATGCCAATCGGAGTTTCCTCTAGGCGTCGAGCTACGCTCTCAATGGCCAAGTTATGCGGTATTGAGGAAAATAGAGCAACTACATCAAACGATAAAATGCATTCATCAGGGCTTACATTAAGGCCTTTGATCCTCTGAAGGAAAGCATGAGAGTTGTTGATGCTGTACTGCCATCCATTCGTGAGGTGCTTTAGGTGCTTGTACAGCCACTTGGCAAGGTTATATGTCGGCGATCCAATGAGCGGCACAATGATCCTTAACGGGGCACCTGCTTTGTGCACGTGCGATACGGGTGTCGTTGGGAGTCAGAAATTTGGAGTCCGCGGGGTTTATGAGCTTTTTACGAGTGAGCTCGTTCACCTTCTTCTTTATAGATGCGGCCTGCTTTTTCGTCGGATCCTCAGCAATTGGGGTATAGGCCTCTCTGTCATTAAAGGCCTGGTTGGCCTTATTGACATAGTCAGTCTTGTCCATAATGACAGTAGCACCACCTTTGTCAGCAGATACAACAACGATACTATCGTCTGACCTCAGGGATCGTAATCCCTTCTCCTCTTCCATCGGCAAGGTTTGCTGGTGTCTTCTTTTCCGGAGGAGGCCGGTCGCACAGTTGCGTATGTCCGCACGCATGTCTTCAGGGATGGATGAGGTAAGCAGGAGGGATTGAAGGTTCGCTAAGAAGTTTGTAGGCGCAGCATCGACATGACTGAACCGTATTCCTTTAGAAAATAGGCTTGATTCGGCGGGTGTGAGAATCCTTTTCGAAAGGTTGACAACTCTCGTCGATATGTTACTGTCATTGATAGGACGGAGGAGAGCTTGGAGCTTCTCTTGAAGATCGGCCCGCTTCTTCATACGAGCATATATGGCGGTGGCATTTATGCGTTGTAGTAAATTTTCGAAAATGTCTTCAGGAAGGGCTGAAACACACCGGCTCTTTAGGTCAGAGATTATCGCCTCAAATCGCTGAAGACGATGGTGGACGTCAGATATAATCGCACTCAAAACACGGAATACATATTTGCGAGCGAGTGACTTCCCAGCCTCATTTTGCAGTGTGGGTTTAAAGAGAAGAGACTTCGAAAGAATGCCATGATCGCGACAGCGATGAAGGAAACTCAACTGTTCGAAGGTTGTCGCCTCTCTGCGCGAAATTCTCCCAACGTCTGGTAAGAATAAGCGTTTGACGCCCAAATATATGTTGAAAAACTGAAGTAGTATGCATTCCGTGATGATATGATGAAAGAAGGAAGTCCGTCGGAAATAGAGTTCTATTCGTAAATTTTCGAGCTGGTTACACCAAACCGGCGTTTATATTGGTCACACGGGTCGACAACTTGGGACTCGCATTAATGAACACAAGTTACCTATCCGCCGACGCGACCCCTTATCTCTCGTGTTTGCCCACGCTCTTGATTGTGACCACCGTTTCAATTGGGACGGTGCC